TTTTTTTTTAATTCATGTGTGATCGCAGCAATTAGCAAACGGCAATGATCCAATCAATTCCAGATGGACAAAATCAAGTCCCGCCTTACATTTTTTTTCTAGATTGAGAAGCCATTTCACTCTGATTTAAGTCACAACAGGGAAGAAATGATCACAATTTGTTTCATGCTGACTTTAAAATGTTCACGCTGCTCTTTTGCTGCTTTTTAAACAAAAACATCAAGAAAAGGAGTCATAGGAACATTTTTTTCCCTTTTGAAACATGACGAACGGGGTTTAAAAGACAATCAATATTCAGTAATATTATTGATTTAACTGCACTCACTGAATTAAGATGAATAATGACTGTATTATCTTCTGTACAGCTGCTTTATAGCTGAAATTGAATTTGTTTCATTAATGATGCCTTTTACAACATTAAACCTGTTATTTTCCTGTTAAACCTGTCTATTAATGTGAAGCTGCTTTGAATCAGTCTGTATTGTGTAAAGTGCTATGCAAATAAACGTGACTTAACTTCACTATGAACATTCAAAAACTTCCTGTGTTCTGTGTGAAGTGTATTAAATGAGTCACCCATTAAAGTTGGGTTAACATGCTCCCTTAATAAGGTAGCTGCTTATGTAGGCAGTGAGGCAGCTCACTAGGATCTGGCACAAAATTACAGAGACAGAAAGACAGAGGGATTTTGGTGTCTCAGGTCTTTGAGGACAAAAAAGACGGACTCGGGGACGTAAAGAAAAAGCCAGTGTTTCTATGGGAACCAAGCCGCGGCGTAGATCAAACCTCTCAAAGCTGACACGTCTAACAAATAGCTTTGAATAGCAGGAGATCTCTCGGAGGAGCTGTCATAAATATCTCAGCTTTGGACCATATCTCTGGAGCCGGAGGAAGATGGGGACAGAGATTAAGCCGTACTGACTGCGTCATTCTGATGCCACCGAGAACACAAACAATCAGCGTGTGTCGCACTCCACGGTCACTGCAGCTCTACACGGACTCTGAACCACAAACCAGGACTTTCTGAGACTTTGACACTCAAAAGCCGGTGTGATGCAGCTGAAATGCTGTGTATGAAACAGACGCCACTGCTGCTCTGCTCTGGAAAACACAGGGTCTTTTGTATGGCGATAAGACGAGATAAATAACAATTTAGTACATTTAAGGTGACATACTTTAATCTACACTTTTATAGCATTTCACTGTTTTCCCCTCTTGAGCTAAAACTAATCATGCATGCTGTGTACCAATGTAGTAAATATTTCAAGATGATATTTTTGTGCGTTTGATGGTCAAATCTTTGTATTTTATTTGTAAACACTTGCACTAAATGTCTCATAAGTGAGTGATATGGTGCAGTATGGTTAACACAACACAAATGGAAAAATATGGAAAGTAACGTACCTTATTAACAATCTTTAGCCGAGTGACTAGGCCAGTACTGAGCTGCTAAGAAAAATTAGCTGCATCTCAAAGTCTAAGATGGTCATAGTTTGAGTTAGTGAACAGTTGACACTTACTGGACTGGGCCGTCCGAGCCTCTATGGGCTGTGTGTACACCCCGAGTCCCATCTCAGAGCGTGCGGCTAGAGTAAACTTGTAGAGTGTGTCTGGCTTCAGGCTTTCAACAGCATATGAACCAGCTGGGTTAAAGATGACATGGTGCTGTGATGGATAAAAGACAAAGAGAGAGTGAGAGGCACACACAGGCTGTTCAGAATGCATTATTAGTGTACAACTGCATGCTGCATAGTATATACTTTATAGTGTCTGTTTTTTATGTGAAACAGTATGCAGTATGCAACAAACTGCACTGTAAAATGCAGTGTTGTCATTGTTAAAACTTATAAACCTTATAAACATTTTAGGTAACAAAAAAAATACTTAAAAATAAAAAAAAAGGAAGTTAGAAATGTTGCCCTGGCAACTAAACAAGTTTTAAGTAGAAATAAATATAAATTAAAGCTAAAAAGAAATATATTTTAAAAAATGACAAATGCACACAACTGAAAATATACAAATATAAGCTAATTAAATAAAATAAATAAAATGTATATGTAAATATTGTTGTCACATAACAAACATTGCATGTTAAATCGAGTGATGCCCAGTCAGCATATAAAAATAAGCAATTTTTTGGTAAAAATAAATAAATGAAATATTTATATTTTATATATTATTATTGTTAGCCCATAAAAAAAGACAAAAGAAGGTAAAATCAATATTAAAAAAACAGTTGTATGGCTGATATCAGAGTCATGTGTTTAAGATGATTGCATAGTGAGCTCATGTTGTGTATTTTACATTGTATACTGTAAGTCATCCAGGTATTCCATGCATATAGAAAACTTGCATTCTGCATACGTACTGCAAACGGCAAAGATAGCATGTGCAGTGTGCTAATAATATCATAGTGAACTTACTGTAGCCATTCACATAGATTCAGTGATCTTAGCTGTGTTCTGCCTTTACCTTGTTGTCAGTGCCGGCCTCCCAGTATGTGAGCTCATATTTGGTGATCTGATCCTGGACGGGCCACAGCCATGACAGCATGATCCGGGTGTCGAGCTCTGCCTCTGCTTCAAAATTAGTGGGCTGCGCCGGCACTGCAGTCAAAGATTGTCTTACTATACACTTAAATCACACCATTATATTGACTTTTGAAGATAACTTTTGTAATGTCTTTCAATAATCTTCATTTAGGTATGTTGCTGAATTATCTTTTCTTCTTTTCTCAGCCCATATCGACCAGAAAAAATATAAATTAAAATAAATACAAAATAAATAAATAAATAAATAAATTAAGAAATATTACCTTGGCAACTACCTGAAAAAAGTTTAAGTGGAAGTTATTAATAAATAAAAATAGAAATATATAAAAAATATTGAAATATAAATAAATTAAACCTAAACACAGTAATATTTAAAAATAACAAAAACTAATAAAAAATTATAAAAGCACATAACAAAATTTCTGAAACAAAAAGAACTGAAAATTAAATTTAAATAAAATATAAATATAAAAATAAAAGTGAATTAATTGTTTCAATAAAAACTATAATAGCATATAAATAATACTAAAATAACACTGATATTGATGCCCAGTCAGCATATAAAATTACAGATTTTAAGCATTATTTTGCAAACAAATAAACAAATAAATAAATACTCATAATATATTATTATTTATTATTATTATTATTAATCCATTAAAAAAAGACATAAGAAGGTAAAATCAATATCAAAAACATAGTTGATATTGCTAAATTAAACCTAAACAGAAATATTTAAAAAGAACAAAAACTAATAAAAATGACAAAAGCACATAACAAAATGACTTAAAAATTTAATGGAGTATTAAAAATGAAATGAAATAATAATAAAATACTAAAATAAAAATATAAAAATAAAAGCTAATTAATAATTTAAAAACTGTAATAGTGTAAAACTAAAACTAAAATAACACGGATATTGATATCACATGCTCACTTTCATTAAACAATAAATGATATGGCACATATCTCACCTCCTTGCTGTGTTTTAACCTGCAGTATGTCCGAGGGCGGCCCGTCTCCCACGGAGGTGAAGGCCAGCACGCGGAGGCCATACGTGATGTCAGGTACCAGGCCGGAGATAGTGGTCAGGCTGCTGTCCTCTGTGTTGTGTTTCTGCCATGTGCTGAGCGGGAAGTGCATGTCGGGCGTGTAGTACACTCGATATCCTCGTATCTGTCCGTTGGGCTCCTCTGGAGGTTCCCACTGCACCAGCATGGTCGTGGCGCTCAGCATCCGGGCCTGAACGCGCAGCGGAGGAGACGAGGGCGCCTGTTCACTGGTCCGGGTCTCTACCGTCCCGCTCGGCGGCCCGCGGCCGATGTTATTGACCGCCATGACGCGGAATTCGTACTCAGAGTACGGGCTCAAGCCACCGATGCTGTAGCGCGTTGACGCCACTCCGTCTACTTCCTGGAAGCCATTGTCTGAGACTTTGGCCCTGTACTGAATCACATAGTAGGACACGGGTTCGGGGTTGCCAGAATCCCATGTTAGAGTTACACTGGTGGCGGTGGTTTCCGTGACGATCAGAGAGGTTGGAGGGCGGGGCAGAGCTGAGAATGCAAAAGAAACAAATGCATTCTCAGCTTCCTGACAATTATGATTGTGAATAATAATAATAATATTGGCAACCATACATGTGCGTGAACATCTAAAGTGATCCAAAAAAAAACAGTGAGATTTCTTTAATTACTGTGAATTGACGGCAGTACAGCTCAGTGCACTTCATTTTAACAGCCAGTGAGACTCAATTATATCTAAAACACAACAGAAACGCTTGTGCTGTCAATTTATTTCAAGGACTTCAAATGAATTTCCTAAAACTGTAAATATTTCTCAGTTTGAACAATAAAAGTTGTCAAAATCCAATCAACATCCTAATACAAACAGAGCTGTAACACTGCAAGATCATAACACAATAAAGAATACGCTTTAATAATAGTCAGTCGCTATATCATACAGTGTTATACTGTTTAGTCTAGTTAAGAGTGTTTTCAGAGCTAAGTGATTTTAGCTACAGATTACTGTGATGTCTGCAAAGACACTAAACCAATATTAAAACTATAAGCATACAGGCCTCATAGAATATCATGATATATGTTCAGGTCAGTGTGTTAACTAAAACTTTTAAAAACATTTATTTCGGTAACTGAAATTAAATCGGAATATTAAATGAATTACTTAAACATACTTCAAAAAAGACAAGGTAAATTAGAAATGTTTGCCTTGGCAATAATACTAAAATAGCACTGGTTCAGATGTTAGATAATAGGCAAAAAAACAAACCACGCAGACATTTTTAGTCCTTGCATTTGAAATATCTGGGGTGTTTTTGCCACATGTCCTGGTTTATTTATCATCCTTAACATGAAAAAGGTGTTTGAAATGTATTTCAATGTATATTAGATACATGCTAATGATCTGGCATTTGACATCAAAGCAGCAAAATGTGCTGTGTTAAACACTGCTATTACGATTATTCTGTGTCTGTATCAGTTCAGTCAGCTCACCCTATTTCCACAGGCGGACAGAAAAATGCCTGCATTGTCATCAAATAGCTTCTGCAATCGACTCTAAACAACTTTTGTGCAATATGCGATTGGACAGCTGTCAGAATCCAGACAGATCAGCTTGAATAAGCAGCAGCAGTGTGGAAATGGATAGAAAAATCCAGTATAAACCTGTGGCTGTGTGCTGCTTTAGGAGGCTTAAAGAAATCCCAAAACACAAGATATTAACCTCAGCTAGCATGATAATGCATGACGAGAAACGGCAGTGAGAAAAACCCGCTGTAATGCCAGATACACTCAACACGCTGCACACTTTAATCAATGCTAATGCTGTAACTCGACTCCATGTGCCTGAATTGAGCTGAACTTCTCTTTGACTCCTGCTCTAAATTCTTTATTTTAAACACTTCCCTAGATACACCCATAAACGCTTGCTGATTCACTGAGTAATGAAGAGCTCAGGGCAGCCTACGTTTACAAACTAATACAGTAACTGTTACAGTAATCAGTGCTGGGTAGATCATTTACAAATTGTAGTCCGTAACTGATTGCAATTTACATGACAAAAATTGTAGTCAGTAACGTAATCCATTATTTTACACATTTAAGGTAAAATAATCAGGCTACTTTTGATTACTTTTACATTTCTTTAGAACTAACTCGTTTATCACATTGATTTAAATATGATAATCTTGTACCATATTGATATAAAAATACAAAGAGAAAGAAAATATATTCCATTCATTGTTATCAACAACATGAAGTACATTTAAACATATCATTACATCAAGATTTCCCAAACTGGGGTTCGTGAAGGAACTGCAGGGGGTTCGTGAGTTTAATGAAAAGCAAATAATTAATTAAATCATAAAAATGTAAAATTAGATTTCCCAAACTGGGGTTCGTGAAGGAACTGCAGGGGGTTCGTGAGTTTAATGAAAAGCAAATAATTAATTAAATCATAATAATTTAAAATAAAATAAATCATTTTTAAAATAACAACTATCAAAATAAAACACTTACTAAAAAAGTTTAAATATCTTATTTGTTTACCTGCATGTCATGTGACCATTAACCAACATCAGAGAACCGTGAACATGCAAATGTGATGCTTAATTATTAAAATATTTATTTTTAAATCTAAGGGGTACTTCAAGTAAATAGGTGAAAGAGGATCAGCTGACAAAAAAAATGTTTGGGAATCCCCACATTACATGCAAATAAAAAATTTAGGGAGAATCAATAAATTATGAATAACTCATTGTTATTTTGTGAATAATATGTAATCATGTAATCAATAAAAAGCACCTGTAGTCTGAGAATTTTAAAATGTAATATAATCTAATTACAAGTACTTCATTTTTGGAATCTGATCCAGATTACACGCAATCAGATACTACCCAGCACTGGATACTATGTTGTTGTTGGCGGTTGCCAGGGTGTTGCTATGCGGAAGCTAAGGTGTTCAGAGCTGTATAGAGCGAGTTGCATTGTTGTTGCTAGGGTGTTGCTATGGTTTCCTGAGTGTCTTAGAGTGAGTTACTAAGTGGTTGCTATCATGTTCTAAATGATTTAGAGTTAGTTAAAAAGAATAGTGAGTTGTGCTTATAGCTAGAGTCAAAGAGCCCATGCAGGTTTGTATGATATTCTGGTGTCTGAGCTAGAGGTCTACACGGGTCCAAAAATTCCCGAACCCGAACCCGAAGAGACCCGTAAATGTGCTACACTGAACCGACCCGGACCCGTCTATTATATGTAGACCTCTAGTCTGAGCACACCATCAGTGTGAGTCTATTTGTGTTTTAGCATCATCTTGTTCAATGTTCCTGTGGCTCAGTGGTAGAGCATTGTGTTAGCAGTGCAAAAGGTTGTGGGATCGATTCCCAGGGAACACACATACTGGTAAAAAATGTATAGCCAGAATGCACTGTAAGTCGCTTTGGATAAAAGTGTCTGCTAAATGCATAAATTATTATTATTAAAATTATCTTATTGTTCAAATCTTTAAACCGTTGTGTGAGAACAACAGTATTTACAACAACGACAGAGTGCAGCCTCTTTCTAGATTTCACAGTACAGTAATTCAGAGAGTGTGCTCTTTCACGCAAGTGTTTAACATGATCAATTTGGGACAATGAAATGTTTCGAATGGATTCATTATCGTGCAACAGCGCTAAAAATAATCCTTAATGATGATTCAGAGCTCAGAGATTTTGTTCGCTTTGTCAAAGCGGAATAAAGGAGGAGAGAGATCTCCTCATCACATTTCAGCTCTGATGAAACATTGATGAGGTGATTGCATGCGCTGTTTGTCTGGGTCGGTGGGAATCCCCATGAGTGTGTTATTGATGAGATTTCACTCTCAACGTTTCTGGGCCAAGCCTCCAATCTTTGTTTATTACCATCTAGATAATCACAGATAATCACTGACTTTAAGTACACAACTGATATCAACGCTAGCTGTATGGATCACTTGGGGACAAAGATTAAAAAAAGCAATTTATTCATTTAAATTAATGAAACCAAGCATACTTCATTATTTTTAGGAATATTACTACTTTACTTGAATATAAAAGTTTCTGTATTACTACATTTTGAAAAGCAAATGAAAATACACTTCTCCTTTGTGTGGGTACAATTGTAGTATGCATAACTGATTCACAAACAAATTGAGTTTTTTTTTTTTCTTTAATGTTTTGACCAAACCAACAAATTAACAACTAATTTAAATTTTTGGGGTTATTATTATTATTATTTTTTTTTTTTTAAGAAAAATGTACTTTTATTCAGCAAGGATGCATTAAATCAATCAAAAGTGACAGTAAAGACATTTATAAAATTACAAAATAATTATATTTCAAATAAATGCTATTTAATTGTTTTTTTAAATTAACTGTTTACAACATTAATATTAATAAGAATAATCATAAATGTTTCTTGAGCAGCACATCGGCATATTATAATGATTTCTGAAGGATCATGTGACACTGAAGACTGGAGTAATGATGCTGAAAATTACATTTTAAAATATATTAAAATGGAAAACTCATTTAAAATTGCAATAATATTTCACAATATTACAGTTTTTTTCCTATATTTTTTATCAAATAAATGCAGCCTTGGTGAGCATAAAAGACCTCTTTCAAAAACATAAAAAAATCTCAAACCTTTGAACGTTAGTGTATCTTTAATTATATTTAAGCATGACTACTTTTCATACAAGTGCAAACCTTAAGCAGATCCTGTGTGACTTATATCTGAGGTGAAGTGTCTCTTACCTTTGACGGTGATCTGAGCCGTGGTGTCGATCATGCCCAGGGAAGATATGGCCACACAGGTGTAGTTAGCCGACTGCCGGATGTTGGTGAGCTCCAGCACATTTCTGCCAATGGGCATCTCCTCCTCTTTAGTGAGTTCCTGTTCCCCCTTCATCCACTTCACATAGGGCATGGGAGCGCCCACCGCCACGCAGGTGAGGTTCACGCTGCCGCCCGGCATCACCTCGTGATTGGTAGGTGGGATTGAGAAACGTGGCGGAACTCGCCGGACTGTTGGAGGAGCGCAGATGATGTTATATGCAGAATACAGATACTGGAAGGCAGAGAACATGCTTCAGGAATGGCTCTGGCTATACACCAATTACATCTAGGGCTGTATTTGAGTGACTGTACTGTAAATATAAGAGATATGAAATATGAATTAGCTCTCTCTATATCTTAATGATTAATCTGAACAGACAAATGCCAAGCTAAATCAAGGGAACAGAGCTGAGAGCCTTAATATACTAAACATTCACCATTTAAGAGTCTGTTTTGACAGTAAATACATCTCAAGGCCTTTTTTTGTCTCTACAGTCGAGTCTCCTTATTGTCTCATTAAATTCAATTTCTGCCAAAGCGCTCGAAAACTATTCACCATTACATCACTAAATGAACTCTGTTTGCATTACAAATACATACTAAAAATGCAGAAGAAGAGGGTCGTCAATCAAGGTGGTCATGAAATAATTTCTTAAGCTTTAGTCCAGTAGCACTGAGTTGTGCAGTGCTTTTTTCTCTGTCACACTATCTTGGACTGACAGACGCTCAGGACCTCAAAGAGACGGCAGACAGGTGAATGTCACGTCTCAGATTTGAACTTTAGACTTTCTCATCACTGTGACTGATAGATTAGCAGTGCAATGCACATTTCCTTTATCATTTCATAGATATAAACAGCGACATTCAGACTCTGAAAGCTGAGATTTCACTGAATTTCCCACAGAATTCAAATGCATGTCACTTATAAAGTTTTAAACATTCACCACCCTTTGCATTCTTGTTTATTAAATATCATAGATAATTTGATTATGCTTTCAGCCATCAATGAGACTGTCAGATTCGTTTAAAATTCTAGTATGTTTAAACAAATTTCACAAAAGTCTTTTTTATATATATACTTTCTTGTAAAAAAAAACTATTTGCATATGCCTTATTTACATGTTGGCATGACAATGTTCATTGTAACATTGTAAAGCTTTTTTTGCAAAGAAATGCATCTAATTTAGATCATGCCATGATTTGACAGCAGAATGTCCTCACCACATTTAGTTGGTGTGAAGCCAAAGCCATACCATCCTGTCCACTGAATTCACAGCGAACACACTGTGTATCTCCAGAGCTACCCATAACGAGGAGCATTTTCTGTAGACTTCAAGGGTAAACAGCCTTCTGAGAGCGTCATGGAGAGCCCGCTAATAAACCGATCTTTTATAATGTCTCTCCTTATATAAAGTGGAATTGTTTTCAGATGGCAGCTGAGTTTAACAAGGAGCTCTGCGGCCAGACATCTGCCTATATTTCACGGATAAACAAGTCTCACTTCTGAAAGAGACTCCAACTCTCTTCCAAATCCGAACATTACCTCCTCATTTCCTCACACAATAAATGATTGCGGATAAATGAGGAAAGTATGCGGCTGAGGGATTACAAATGCTCAGTATTTATTTGACTTGAATGCAGTTTCTGGAAAGTACAGCATTAATTATCACCCAAAGACCAACAATAATCATTCATCTCGCTCTATCACAAAATAAATACAGTTTTCGCTTTCTGCATTATTACAGTAGGTAAGGTCCTTGTTGTAACAAGGACACCGTAAAATAAAGCGTTACCGTAACTGCGTAAGAAAATACTGCAAACTTATGCAATGTGACAAATCTGTCCTCGCTGAAAGTGAAATAATGTGTGCAGCAAGAAAAAACTAATCACAACCAACCAAATGTGTAGAATGAGTCTTTCAACCCATGAGATTCCACAGTGGGCGGAGCTACATTTTGCAATGCAATGCAATGCAATGCAAAAAAAAAAAGCTCAATGATGAACTGACAAACGATAGTGGCTAGTAAAGGCAAAAATGGCACATGGTTATGCCACATTATTTTTTTAACCACAAAACCTTTAACTCAATTTTTGTAATTTGAACATATTGCTGAGGTTCAGGTACAGTAAATCAATATTTATTGCTAAATTTATTGATTCAAGTCAGGTAAACACTGAGCAAATTGTGCTTATGGTGTGTGATCTGTATTGGCCATGGCCAGAGGCTGCTGAACTGATCATCATCTCTGAGAGTTACGCTCAGAGTTTCGACTTTTGGGATTGAGTTAAGTTTGTTAGTCGGGCAGGAATGCCTGCAGGTATAAGAGTGCAAGAGAGACATCACATTAATCCACGTTAGTCACTGTACATAGAGAGGATGATGTTACCCATGGACATGAGGGATGGTCACGACATGATGGTAAGAGATTCACTCAGTTAGAGGTTGTTAAGAAAGTTTGAGAAGTCTCTGCTGGCTAGTAAAACAGACCGGCGTGAGCGATGTGAGCGATGCCAGCGGCCGTGGTGAGATTAGAGAATGGGCTGAGCTGACTTTAGTCACTGATCTCGTGAGAATGTTGCTGGGAGTGTTAACAGAGCAATGAAAGCTTGCAGTTAGACATGACTCAAATTTTGTAATTTGAACATATTGCTGAGGTTCAGGTACAGTAAATCAATATTTATTGCAAAATTTATTGATTCAAGTCAGGTAAACACTGAGCAAATTGTGCTTATGGTGTGTGATCTGTATTGGCCGTGGCCAGAGGCTGCTGAACTGATCAACATCTCTGAGAGTTACGCTCAGAGTTTCGACTTTTGGGATTGAGTTAAGTTTGTTAGTCGGGCAGGAATGCCTGCAGGTATAAGAGTGCAAGAGAGACATCACATTAATCCACGTTAGTCACTGTACATAGAGAGGATGATGTTACCCATGGACATGAGGGATGGTCACGACATGATGGCAAGAGTTTCACTCAGTTAGAGGTTGTTAAGAAAGTTTGAGAAGTCTCTGCTGGCTAGTAAAACAGACCGGCGTGAGCGATGTGAGCGATGCCAGCGGCCGTGGTGAGATTAGAGAATGGGCTGAGCTGACTTTAGTCACTGATCTCGTGAGAATGTTGCTGGGAGTGTTAACAGAGCAATGAAAGCTTGCAGTTAGACATGCAGACAAACACATAGACATGCATGCACACATTCAATCTGAAGAGAGAAAGAGAGCACAAGGAGAGAAAGAGGATGTTTTGAAGGGGAGGTTTATTTCATACACACACATGGACACACACAAACAATCCCAAGTACATCAATGGCTGTGCAAGCATGAAGCAAAAAAGCACACATATATAGATAGTCAACAGAGCATACATGACCTACAGACTAAAACACCAATAAATGAAAAAAGAATCCAAACAAATTCATCAAAAACGTACAAAATAGTGCAAAGAAACCAATTTCAGCTTCGTCTGCTCAATAGAAAAAACTACGGTTGGATAACACTCCGAAACAAGCTGTGATCAGAGAGGGATTCTACAACAAGCAAACTCCTGATCCTGACAATGTTTCTGCTGTCAGGGATGGATGCTACAGTTGAACAGTCTTCTGCAGTGTCAACTCGCTGTAAATCTTCTGGTCTGAGGTGGATTATTGGAGAACCAGTCTCTAATCAGCATCAAAGCCGTGCTTTACAGATTCAACCACCTCAAATAAAAGAAACATGAACTCAGGGTCCAAGAAGAACATGCCAAATAAGAGTAAATCTTTTTTAACTGCCAGTTTGGCTGGCTTTATTAGAAACTGCAACATATATAGTCTGACACTCACTGATATACGGTTGCATCTACAAAAACAAAAAAACAAAACAAAGAAACAAACAAAAATATTAATATTGTAATATTAGTGACAAATACAGTGCTCATCTTCTAACAAGTGGAAAATGTATCATCCAAAATTGATCTAGAATGCATATAGGTTTCTTCTTCAAGAACTTCTAAAATGAAAATATAAATAAACAAAACAACTTCAAAAAGAAGAGGAGATTGGATCATTTCATATATGATGCTTTTCTTTGCCACAAATAAGCCATGAAGTATTTCTATTGTCAGGGAGGAAATTATGTAATTTCAAAGTATAGTTTCTAGGCCAGTAAGAAATATTTATGGCCAGCAATTCATTCCATAGTGGCACGTGTGAAGCAAAAAAAAAAAAAAAAAACCTTCCTAAGCAGATGTGGGGGAATGTTCTCTATAATAGACAAGAGAAGTCAAGTCTAAGACTACAGGGATTATTGTGTTGAAATGTCTCATTTGTGCTCTGCAGGTGCCAGTGAGAGAGACTGCAGAACAACAGCGCTGAAGATATCTCACCCGAGGCCACATAAAGTGAATTATGCATTACGACATGAAGACCTGAAGAGATGATCAGCACAGAGATCGGGCTGACCTAGAAATTACTGCCAGAAACCTGGGTCATGTTAACCCAACCAGAACCTCTTTATCAAGAATCGTTGCTATATAGCTCTTGATGTTACATTATAGATTCTTCAGATAAGTCTACTGGCTTCTGGACTTTTAAAGCAATTTTTTTTCCTAAATCAGTTTAAAAAATACAAATAAAAAACAATAAATAAATAATATACTACCAAATTGATTGATTGACTGACTGTTTTTTTGCATTAATTATGCACACAACCATGCCAAAATATCTCATTTTCATTACTGTGTAATGAAATGCATCTAATAAATATATAACAGCATTATTTAAAATGTAAGGTACAACTTTAAGTGTAAAACATGGATCGTTTTTGTTGTATAAAAACAAGAAAATATAATTACAAACAAATAATAAATAAAAAATCAAAATGGAATGCAAAATATAATTTTTTTTTCCTTTTGCTTTTGAAGGCGAAATATGACCTGAACATTTATTTGTGAGATTCATCAAAAAAAACAAACAAAAAAAAAACCTCTTAGTGTTCTGTCATCGCATTAAGCTGTAAAACTTTTCTGGTACAAACTGGAAACTAATTTTTCAGTGCATTTGCTGTGTGAGTCCTGAAACACCACATTCTTTGACAGTATGTTGTTTCTATTTTCCTTAAGCTTCCACACTTCAAAGGGAAAAAGCTGATTTGTCAATGTCATGCATTGTTCTTGTCCAACTCAAACAGCTTGTTTCTGCGATAATGTGACATGAAGAGGACATTGTCTTCCTCCTATATGAAGAACAGATGCCTGGGTTCAATCGCGCCGGGTTTCTGGAAGGATAATGACACTCTTTTAAACAAACAACACTGGGACGAAAAAGCTCTTTTGCTTTCTGCCATCATATTTTCTGTCTGTTTGTATTGTTCTCCACATTGGAAGTCCTCACCAAATGGCTGATTCCAAGACAAACAATGAAAGCTGCTTTAGCCAGCTTAAATACTTGAGAGCTCAAAAGGCTTTCTGGCAGTTCACAGAACAAGCCCTCTGAAGAAGAAGCAGAGCAGAGCAGACAGGGGATTGCTGCCATCTTTGAAATTTGAACTGGTATATAAACAGGTCTGATCCGCTAAGCTAAGGGTGGATTCCTCTGTTTGTTCTTTGACCTCTGAGTTCAAGCTTTGAGCAACAGCAAATCGTCCTGTTCATTTAGAAAGAATGATGCTGCTGTCCTCTGTTTTCACAAACAAGACCAACCTACGCTGCACAAAACACCTCCTTAAAACATGAGCATGCACACAAGAAAACTTCTGTAGACAAGTACATAAAAATACTTCAGACAAACAAAATAACTGGCAGAAATCCTCGTGACACAAAGGGTGTTTTCACACTTCACATGCTTCCCATCTTTTGAGATGAAACCAGTAGATAAATGCAAGTGTTATTAGTGTTATATCACTGAGATACTATTATAGTTTTTATTATTATTTTGGGTTAGTTTTAATTTTTATATTTTCAGTTTCCATTTTAACTGTACAATTTTGTTGTGTTTATGTTGCTTTTAGTAGTTATTTATTTATAATGGTAACTAGCTTAAAATAAGTTTAGATATTTTATTTCATGTAACATTTGTTTTCATGGTTTTAGTTTTAGTTAACTATAATGACCTTGGTAAAAACCAAAGGAACAAACACACAATTGTATAATGAAGAGTCCTTACACTGCTATAGTGACTGTGCTCAGGACTGCAGTTATATTACATATATACAGCTAAATAATGTGAAACAACTCAAACTAGAAGTGCAGTTTTAAAAACAAGGACCAGATGGATGTTTCTTTTGGGCTTTTGCAATTTGCAATTGGTATGCATGTAAAACAACACAAAACAAACCAAAAAAGCATGACTGAAAAACTCAACATTGGTTTCCATTTTTTAAACAAATGCACCATAGATGAAGCCAAAAACCCCAATGCATCGATCTCAGGTTCAGACCAAGTAGTTGAAGTGTGAAAACAGCCTAAAAGATCCCTGAAGTTGCTTTAGGGCTCTTTACACAAAACTACAAATGTCTGAAAACAACAACACATCCACAGTTCTGACACATGCATCATGAAGAAATAGGCCAAGTCGAAATGTGAGGCAGCAGCATGCACGTGGAAGGGGAGGATGAGAGAGATTCAGGTAGAGCAGAGCTCCAGAGAGACTGGCACACAACAGCAGGGGACGCACGCCGCCTCCCGTCCACCGGCCGACCCTCTGCGTAGGAGGAGGGATAGTGAAAAGAACGCACCTTCCCGCTGGTCTGTGAGTGAGGAGTGGATTGATTTTGGATGGCAGGGTGCGATGATGATGGAGGAAGGGAAAAAAAAGAGAAGAGAGGAGGAGGAGGAGGAGGAAGACAAGGAGAAACAGAGAGAGTAAAACAGGCAAATATTCCGCTTATCCATAAAAGAGACGTGAGACGAGAACATGGAGACAATCACAGCACCAAAACACACTCATACATCCATTCATTTCCAGATTTGTTCTTGTATTGTAAATCAAGGTGTATTTTATGACAGCTTATGCATTACATTCAGGCCAGATTTGAAGTCGATACATTGCAAGTGCATACCGTATTTTCTGAAAAATGAGTTGCACAGGGTCAAAATTGCATTGAGAGAGAAAAAAAGATTTGCATTGGTCACGTGTTCTTATTACAGTTGCATGCCATAATTACACTCAGAAATAATATAAAATATTAGTGAATGAAAGGTTCACAAACATTATAAACACTATAAACATTAGTGCCAGACAACATTTATGCTATTATAAACACCAAATCTATAAGCGAATTTATTAAACGCATCATACAAGTTGCTTCGGAATAAAACTTTGCAGCATGTTTCAGATGATAAAACGTGGCATATTCCAGAAAACACAGTACTTAACATGCTTTCTTGCCTTGTTGTGGTGGTAACTAACCTCAGGAACAAATGACTATATAATTACTATAGACTAACCCAAACCCTACCCGACAAGAAAAAAGTTTGCATTTTTAGAATTAAAAAAAAGTACTGAATTGTATATGTGCACCTGTGTGCATATAAATGATTTAATTAACCTATAGTATGTCTCTCTGCGATCTCTTTCTGCCTACACCTTCCAAATTTACAAAAGCGCGCACACACACACACACACACACACACAAATAAACAAACAAACACACACAGAAGAAGCATGATGCAAGACCCTCATCAGTGCTTGAGGGTCTCAGTGTGATAAGGCACATGAGAATGAGAGTGAACACACACACACACACACCCACACACACACACACACACACACACAATCTTTCACATGAAAGGATAAGCAATTATGGAATGATCACTCCTATATACAGTGATAAACACCTACTCACTGCAGTTGAACCCAAAGAAAAAAAAGACAGATTTTAAAGAGAGAGAGAGAGAGAGAGAGAGAGGAGGAAATGCACTAAACAAACACACACAGGCCCACACACAGCGTTCAGAAGAGATCTGTTAGAGTACGTGTGTGTCAGTGAAGTTTGAACACCTGGAGAGAGACTCTAGTTAGTCAGACTATAAAGAAGAACAAAACCACATCACAGCATACAGAAAATATCCTCATTAGCAGGGCTGGCCGATAAGTTTATAAACACTGATTGTATTGAAAACATTGATTCATTTAGTTTGATTCATTTAGGTCAATCAGTTCTTCAAACTGTTCATTTCAATGAATCAATTCAAGAATCAATGATTCACTGATTCCGTGAATTGTTTGCTAAAAATATTAATGGAAGTGCATGTGAGGCAATTTATATGCCTTAACATTTAGTAAAATATATATCTTGGCAAATGCTGTTGTGTGTACTAGTAAATACTGTTATGTTTACTGTGCAATTTATACTTTAACTAAAATAAGTAAAACTAATTAAATATTCTTCTCATTCATTTAGTGGAAAAAAACATTCTTTTTATTATTTTAAATATTTGTTTTTACTGTATTTAACTTTAAACATTTTGAATTTACATGTAATAGCTGTGGTTAAAATGACGATTCCTCGCAATGAAAAAACCCTTTAAAGCAAATACTAAAATGTTGAGATATTGCCATATATTATTTAAGGGCTCTATCGTCCAGCCCAACTCATTAGTTATAGAATAACAATGCAAGAGAAACGCATGCACACACAGTGATAAGCCTATAGAGTTCACATCAATAGTAAACCCTTGAAAAGAAAAGCAATAAAAGTACGACACTACCAGTGAAAAATTCATGGACTAACAAAATGAGAACATCTCTCTCTCACCATAAAGCATCTGATGCTCATACATATATATTAAATGTCATTCATCAAAAGGCACGTCCTGAGAGCGCGTGTGGTCTGTGTAAAGATCAAAGGGCTCCAGAGAGAATTCACATGATATGATCTGCACGATGCATCATTTATATGAGTTTCTCTCCGATTGGTCGAGGGCTTGAGGAAGAAGACCAGGAGAATTTATGGACAAAGATTTGTGTCTAGTTCTCATTTCCCCTGTTTTCATTTCAAACACATACACAAATGCAAAATTCAAAACACACTATCAAAGAACAATGTACAACGCATCACCATGAAAGTCTGAGTTTGAAGTGTCCTTTAAGCACTTGCCTGGCAAAAGTGGCTGTTAAATAAAAGGCGTTTCTTTGAAACAAGGCTTCAGTGGTCTCTATATCTGCTGTAATAGCTCCCGACATTAATGAGGGAATTTCCACAACGGGATTCTCCATTCCAGCCTGCAAGTCTCAACTCAGTCCTTTCGTTGATGAAGCCCTGACAACCCTTTCACCATTTCCACCAACCTTCATGACCAGCAGCATTAGAGGGCATTTTATCTCATTGCTACTCTTTACCATTTTTAAATATATTCTGCACTTGTTCCTGAAGTCCAATTATAATGCTAATCAGGTTTCTAGCACAAAAAAAATTTACTTTAATATTTTCAACCTCTCTCTGGCATTACCAATTGAACAGGCTGCTTTTGCTACTGTACCTTTAAGACTTTTAATGATCTCTGGTGAAAGGCCGACCTCCTCACAACAACTAACAGCTAATGCAACACAAACTGTAAAGTAATGGAATATATTCTAGAAATATTCAATTTAAAACACATGAAATATATCAAAAATAACAGAAATAGCAAAGATCACTGGGAGAAAAATTATTAAAAATATAATCAGTGTAAATCAACTATAATCATCTTGGATCTAAAAGCTTTTAAAAAGTATATTAGTTGTAAAGATAAGCTTGTAATTTCACAGTAAAGTCAAAAACTGTTTACTATGCATTACTATTTATAAAAAATACATTAAAAATAAAATAAAATACAAATGTCTAATTCATTTAGTGAAAAGCTGTGTGGAAAACATTTCTTGATTATTCAAAACTGGAAAACAATGGAGCAGTTCTCCACTGCAGAACCGTTCTGCTATTAAGACAAATGGGTGATTAGAGAGAAATGTGAGCTTTTGAGCGACAGGTCCTGTTCTGGCCGTGGTAAAGCCTGTATGGAGAGCAGATCGAGGTGAAACGGGATGGGATTTTGGATTTGGTTGCAGATCTTACCTCTGACGTAGAGGTTGGCAGGAGCGGAGTAGCGTGTTCCTGCGCTGTTCACCGCCACACACTCATACTTGCCCTGGTCCGATTCCTCGCTGTTCTCGATCTGCAGAGCCCCTGCAAACACAACACACACAATCACAAACGCTCTCTCACACACTCACAAACAATCTCAACCTCCGTCGCTTTAAACGAGGGCGGCCTGAGGAAAATAATCTATTTTTCTGCCTAAACAACACGTACACACTGACTAACACTCGGCTGGCATATGACCTTTCTCGTCTCTCTAAACACTGAAAGAAAAGAGCAACATCTTTCACTCCATAATTCAATAAATCTAAAGCAAACTGAGTTATTTATTCATTGTGGCAAGTAAAAAGACCTGCAGGCAATGCCAGCTATAAACGTCACTGTACATAAGCTCTGCTATTCTGCGAGCCGAGACAAAGCCGTGCTCTTAGAGAATGGATCTATCAGGATGTAATACAAGCGCTGCAATTACTGTCAATACATCCTCAATGCATCCACTGACAAGCAATACTGCAAACAAAAGCAAATCCAGGTGGACTAAAACTAAAAGGTTGTTTTTTTCTGACAGCAATATCATAAAGTTCTCGCAGTTCATTATCTCCGTCTTCACACGGTCACTTACCTGGGTTCGGCATTCTGTTGATAACACAAAAAGTTCATAGACATTGCGTTTTGACAAAAATCATTAGCTCATCAGGTGTTTTAGTATGGCGGTGCTGTTTGTTTGCGTGATGTGACATACATCATGCAATCTGTGGATGATGGAAGCACACCGAGAGAACGAAAAATGTTGTCAAAGAGTATTTCAGAAGTATTCCTGAAATGCATTATGGGATGGGTTTAAACATGTGTAATAACAATAGAAACATAATTGAAAGACTGTGAGTGCATGAGACCTGAGCATTAACCTCGCTCCACGAGTGTATTATACAGAAGAATGACTCTTTAAAACATTTACAGCACACATAAACACATACACACACATATGAGATCTGTTCCAAACCCAAGTGAGCTGTAAAAAAAAACAAACAAAAAAAAAATAAATCAACCAGGGTTATTAACTAAAAGTATACAAAAAAAGTAATTACTTGAAATAAAATAAACATTTCCTGAAGTAAAATAAAATATAAACTTAGTTTATTTTACCTATTTAGCATTTTGTTTAAAGCACTAAAAATAATTCCATAAAAACTACAGACATATATAAAAAAAAGACAAAAATACTAAAACTTTAACTAAAATTAAAACGAAAACAGTAAATATAAAAATAAAACCTAATTCTAAATTATGAAAATAAATATATCATTCTAAAATAACAGTGGGATCAACGTGTAGCTTAAATACAATGTAAGTTGCTTTGGACAAAAGCATCTGCCAAATGCATAAATCTAAAAGTAAACACCACCAATTATGTAAAACTACTTTTCCCATCATTCTCTGCGTCAGCATAATGAAATAATAAAATACACAGATAAAGCATAAATCACACACCTAATGCATGTGTTTTGCTCTTTATTGTGTTGAACTAGTGGTAAAAATTATTCCTATGCACGTTTTATGTTTAGAATTACAATTTTCAAACGTGCAGTATCTTCCTAGGAAGGTGAAGTTTTTATTGATTCTTTGATGTGATGTTAGATTTTGGTCAAAATGAGGTATCTTTTTAATTTTGCTGTTTGCAGTGGCTTTTTGATACAGTACATAGAAATGCAGCTCAGCAGTGTTTGGAACAGAGCTACTGTCTCTTTTTCTCTACTCATCAGGAAAGCAGGCTTTTTTCTATCACTTATTACATCTGAAGCGCTAGTGTCAGCCTGACGTTGAAGGATGCTGTTCTGCCCTCTCTCAGTCTCATCTCACTTTCTCGCCCTGACATTCCTTCTGAAGAGATCGACTCAGAGTTAGAGTCAAATCTTGCATTTCTTTCCTTCTACATCAGTCCTGTCATATCAGCGGTGAGTTTTCTATCCCTCAGTTGAGCGGTTCTGGACTCTTCTGCTGGAGACGAGAGGTGCTCGGTTAATACAAACTGTCATAATGACATTACGTTTTTCTGCTGTGGGGAATGAGATGTTGTCCAGGTATCTCACAGTTTCTCAAGCCGCACTGCATCTCCTCAGTTATTGATCAGACAAACGGTCAGCCATCCGGACAGTAAGTAAAGGTCAGTTCAGCAGAAAATGACAGTTAAGTTAATTTCCCCCACATTCTTACTCTAATGTATTCAGATATTTTACTTGAGCCTTTTTTGGTAATTATCGCTATTCTCAATGACGATACTCAAAATAACATATGACAAAAATAATATTATATATACTATAATGTAGTACAGATAAAAACAAATTAGTATCATGTATAAAATTTTATATAAACATATTAATGTAGAAACAATTTCCCCCAAATTCTCATTTTCGTAATGTATTCAGACATTTTAATGTATAGTTTTTTTTAAATAATACTTGCTATTCTCAATGATGATACTCATTATTGTGATATATAAAAATACTTTTTTTTCAAAATATCATTATTGAGAATAGCAAAAATATATGTATAACCTTTAAAAAATATAAATTATTATTACTATTATGCATTTAAACAATGTAATAAATAAAAAATAATATATAATGTAGTATATAACATAATATAGTGTAACTAAAATCAAAGAAGTATAAAAGTTGTATAAATATATTAATGTTGAAATATTGTTTTGATATTAATATCATTTATGCAAAATGTAATTTCTTCTTCAGATTTTGACGGATATGACGGATAAGTTCTTGACAGGTTTTGTGAAATCCATAAAAATGTTAATCAGATGTATATTTTGTTTTTGTCTTTTGTTTGGTATAGTGATGTATTATTTTCAGTAAGACTGAATCAGACGTCCATTAGTGAGACAGACGAGCAGAGGTTCATGCACAGAGACGAGGAGGAAGACAAAGAGAAAGACTCCAGAATGAGAGAGAAGGTGGGGACAGGGTGATGGAGGGGGACACTTGGGGGTGAAAGAGGAATCGAATGATGACGCATTTGGATATTTTCTGTTTTCAGCATTCTTACCTCTGATTGGTGTACCACCTGGTGAGGTAATATGAATGCAAATAAGATTAAAGAGAACTGTTAGTGTGAAAGAGAGAGAGAGAGAGAGAGAGAGAGAGAGAGAGAGAGAGAGAGAAGAGGAAAGATGAACAGGAGAAAAATATTTCTTATTTAAGAAGCGGCATTTACAATCTTCCCCAGAACACGTTCGGCTCTTCTGTTCTCAGTGTGTGTTAATTCACATTATGAATTTACATTGCTGCTTCAGGCCAGAAACATACAATATGCAAGTATGCATGGTCCTGTTGTACATATATGATGTTCAATCTCCAGTACTCAAAAGAGTTACTGTGCTAAATGTCTGTGCAATCAAAATAGATGTGTTATTATTTAGGTAGTTGGCTATAAAACATTAATTTGAACTAAATTGCACAGCAAACATGACAGTAGTGTCCATAGAAGAAGAGTTTACAGTAATATCTGCAATAGCATCCCTTGTACTCGAGTTTAGAGTTCACGTACCTGTACTTGTTTAGAGTATGTTTTGGCCTTTAAATGACTCATTCTTGTGAGCCAGTAATAATTTCATCTCTCTCTGCACAAGGGTCTTTTGCTATTTTTACAGTGCTGCACATTCTACCTCCAGCACAACTTTGGCCTTTGAATTTAACCACAGCTTTGCTAAATAAATAGAGTTGTCTGAAGCATCACAGAAGAAAACCTTTTTGTGCAAACTGCAAAGTGATAGTTCAGTCTCAATGCATTGACCGACCCTTGCGTCTTATTAATTTCAAAAGAGACTTGTTTAACTTTGAAAAAGCTCCAGATACTTGCCATTTCATTGTTACATGTTTTTTTTTTCTGACCAAAATCATATTATAATTACAATGTACAAACCTGTAGTAAATGCCTAGGAGTGTTTTTTTATAGATACTTTGCAATATGTTAATATGTGAAGTTGCCTTAGATTTTAATCAAAAAGAGTCCATGTGGAGTCTGTTGACTATGATGAAGATTCATGTCAATCTGGATCATAAGTCAACCGTTCCACCATGTGAAAACAGTGCAGATTTGGGAAGGGGGTCAGAGACACGAGGAAGCCCCTGTAAACTGTGTGGATTGTGGTCCATCAGCAGTTTACAGCGAGCCTTGCGTACACTGGGACCCTCAGAAAGCCCAGGATGCCCAGAACAGGACAGGATTGAGGACTTTAAGGTGAGTCTGCAGTGTAGCACGAGCATAATGAAGAATAGTAAGACTTTACTATATCTTCACTATGGCTAGAGGGAGAAAACTTGAGTATGTGTTAATTTTTGCAGTTGGTAGTAAGAGTTCACCAAGACAGTCGCTATCAATCCTGGCTGTATTTAAGACTTTAAACAGCAGCTAAGCTGGACATCCATTATCTTACTGAGGAGAAATCAATAATCAGTCCGACATATAAAGATTCTCATAAGCACACCAATCCTCATAAATCACCTCGGCCTGAGAGCTTAGCGTGGCGTAGTGGGTAAAAATCGGTAACGCATGTCTATGCGATTTGCGCTTTTTTATCATCTGTCAGATACATTTTTTTTCGGTTGCTTATAAAAGTAATTACACACCTCAAGAAGCTGATCTTTTTGAGGCATCATTCGTGTCTTTGGCACAAATTTTGCTGAAAATTAATTGCAGAAATGATAAAGAATTTTATTTGAACAATGGACCCTTTTCAAAGACTGATGCGTTTCCACAGTAATTAACAGGGCCTAAAATTAACACTCGCTAAGCACCAAATGCATGTAAAAAACAGCATCAAAAACTGTTAATTGCCAGTTGGCCGGTAACCTTTTTAAAATGAATTCTAACAATGCCTGAGAATGCAATATAGTGCAATTATCAAATTGCATAGACCGTGTTGTAATGTAATCTGATGTGCTGCGTGTTTCAAAGCGAAGCGCTGTGATCTTTTCACATGAGCTGCTCATGATAACAGTGTTTTCAATGGCTCGGAGCGATTCACATTAAATGCTGCTCCACACAAATGACATTTCCGTAAGCGCTGTGAGTTTGAATCGCTACAATTAGATTACAATTAGATGTGTTTCCCCAATTTGTTCTGGCTTTTTTTAAAAATAATGAAATAATGCACATACATTTTCATGGCCAGTAAAAAAAAATAAAAAATTATAGTTGGTAAATTTTAAAGTCACTGGCCAATGGCAGGTGTTGGAAAATGTTAGTTTTAGGCCCTGATTATTAACATCTAAAATCTAGAAGAAGAAAAAATTCTAGAGAATCTAGAAAAAGTTCTTAATATTGTATTTCCATTGTTAAAAACTTTTAAGTACATTTAAAAACACTATGTGTTATATTACCTTGACATTAAATTACAGCAAACTCTGTGTTTGACATCCTTTGACCTCCTTCTCTCTTCTGACCACCGTAATCAATCTCAATATTTTTTTCCTCTGTTGGAAAGTAATAGAAATGCTATTATGGATTTTTTTATTTGCTACTGGAGCAAATGTGAACAACAAAAAATAAAAAATAAATATATTTGATGTAGTTTGCATTCACCACTGCAGAATTTTACCTAACTGTGGTAAAATATTACCCTAAATGTGAAAAGGGTCCACAGTAATGAACGGCCTTTGGCTCACACGTGTAAGAGGCTTGCGTGCGTTTATATTGAGAGAAGCAGGATTACAATCCAGAGACACTCTCATATCCCAGCTCTCTTTATCAGATTCAGTCTCCCTGTCTGCTTATCACCCAGCCTGCATTGTAAACAGATTCTTGATTGGTGTCCAGGGCAGAATCACCTGCTTTGGCGAGGCTGGTGGTAATTACTCGTGCACAATGACATGTTCCAGTGAGATTAAGGTTCCGTTTGAAGCGGGAGGTATTGAATCATGAGTGCTTTTCCTATTTGTTCTTAGGTGTTCTGTAAAGGTCACGAATCGAAATCATTAGCATTCGTTAATAGAAAAAAGCCTTTGTGCTAATGGCTGGAGAGCAAAGCTAATTTTAGGATCAAATAATGGACTGTATCCAAACAAATAAATTATGTGATTGTCTGGTAGCTGCGAGATGGATTGGCCGACCTGGAATAATTTGACAAATATGGAGCTGTTTGACGATTGACGCAGGAAATGATCGTTGACAAGGGCCAATGATTCTAATCAAAACAAATCACTGTACTGTCATGTTAATCATGTTTGTGTGTCCTAACCGGAGGGTTATGTGAATAATAACTGTGAGCCACTCTGTCTTCCTGTTTGTTTCCGTTTACTTTAAGACATGAAATGAAACCGAAGGCTCATTTGGAACTGAAATGTCACTTATCGTACAAATGCGCAGCAATAGTAGGATTCCAAAAGTGAAAAATCCATTCATTTCCTCCATAGAGATTTAGCGAATGTAAACCTTTCCACACAGACTTACTATGAGCTCTGAGGTTGTTAAATGATGATACATTGTGATTTACCAAATTCACAGTGAAAAAAATTGCACTACCCTGAATATTTTGTATAATAAAGCCAAGCATGTGGTATTTTATATGTCAGGTTTTGAAAAAAGTCTATTTCGCTCACCAAGGTCGCATTTATTTGAACAAAAATACAGTAAAACAGTAATATTGAGAAATATTATTCAAATTAAGTCATTATTCAAATTATTCATTATCACGTTATTTAAAATATCAGTTTTTTTTTATGTTAATATATATTTAAAATGTAATTTATTCCTGTGATGTAAAGCTGAATTTTCAGCAGCCATTACATACATTTAATTTTTCAGGATTTTTTTTTGATGAACAGAAAGTTCAAAAGAACAGCATTTATTTTAAATAGAAATCTTTTGTAACATTAGAAATGTCTTTGCTGTCACCTTTGATCAGATTAATGTGTACTTGCTGAATAAAAGTATTCATTTCTTTAAAAAAGAAAAAAAATCTTACACAGGCAATAATTTTGTATTGTACTGTTGTTTCTGATTCAATCCCATCATTCCCTCATGAAATATGCACACAGCCTTGTACCGTTGGCTTTTTTTAAATGTTCAAATACTTTCAAGCGCTTTGAATCAAATATTGCAATGCGATTCATCTGGGAGCTGCTTTGGTTCAAGCCTTGGAACTCTTTATTGAAGAATTTTCTGAAATCCCTATGGAGAAAAAGAATGGGAAAAATCTTCTGGAAAAAAAGTGGCCGCTCACTGCTGTGCTCTATTGTCTTTGTCAATGAGATAAAAAAAAAGAGGTGGTTAGAAAAATATTCACGGTCAGCAGGTGCCTCCGGCTTCAATGTTCGCAATCGTCATCAGCGCTCATTATAGTTTATTCTTCAAGCTTGTTTGCCTTTTGTGTGTTTACAAAGTTCTTTTTACCTGAACGGAGTTGCTTGATTCGTCCATTGCTGCTGTTAATGTCGACAGGCAGGAAGTCTTTGAACCAGGTGATCTCCGGGTCGGGGTTCCCGCTGGCGGCACAGAGCATGGTAGCGGTGCGCGTTCGCTCCACCACTTTCAGCTGCGGGCCCATGTCTATGGTGGGGAAGCCGTGAGGAATCTGGTCCTCTGGAAAACACACACACAAAACAACAAAGAGAGAGGCGTCAGCACACATGATTGAACTGCACGATAAGCTGTGCATTTTTCTAAAGCATAGCTCTTCCAAATGTTTGTCCGCAGGACCACCCAGGGCGATCGGACTGTAGCAGCTGAAATGCATGACTGTAAGACACAGAGGTGGAGTAGAGATCACGGTGTGAAATCCACGGCTAATGTAAATACGAGCGGGGCGAGGCGCGACTAATCTGCCCGTGGTGTTTCTGGTCATGGATATATGAGGGTGAGAGGGGTGATTTCCCTCTGGCTATAGTGACACCTCACAGAACGGCTGGCTCTGTCTGACCCACAGTTTCACTACAGGAAGTCTAATGCTGACATTACTAAATTAGGTACTAAATATTGCTGAAATGCAAAGGCAGAATTACATGTTGTTTTCACATGCTTCTTTTGCACTATAGAGGGCATGGAAAGCTCTTGCTCTCTCTGGCCCCACTTACACCTGGTATTATCATGCATCTCAAATGCATTTCGTGCATTTTCAGGGTCTGCATTTTGTGTGACTATGTACATCACTTAATATGTTGTCAGTTATAAGAAAGATGGAATCGTTCATCCAAAAATGAAATCACCCACATGACGTCCCAAACCTTTATGATTTTCTTTCTTTTGTGGAACACAAAAGATAATATTTTGAAAAATGCTTCTTTGTGTCTCTTTATATGAAGGTCAATGGGGTCCAATATTGTTTGGACCCAACATTTTTTCTTTTGTGTTCAAATAAAGTATGTCACACAGGTGTTGAAGTAACATAAGGGTGAGAAATATACATTTTTGGGTGATTCTTTTGTCTGTTCGCTACTGTTCAGAAGTTTGGGGTTGGTAAGATTTTTGTTTTTGAAAAAAGTCTCTTCTGCTCACCAAGGCTGCATTTATTTGAACAAAAATACAGTAAAATAAGTTATATTGTGAAATATTATTACAATTTAAAATAATTTTTTTTTCTATGTGAATATATTGTGGAATGTTAATTATTGCTGTTATCAAATCTGAATTTTCAGCATCATTACTCCAGTCTTCAGTGTCACATGATCTTCAGAAATCATTCTAATATGCTGATTTGCTGCTCAAGAAACATTTCTGATTATTATCAATGTTGAAAACAGTTTCATATTTTTGTGGAAACCGTTACATATATAGATTTTTTTGATGAATGTACAGTTTAAAAGAACAGCATTTATTTGAAATAGAAAACATTATAAACTGTCACTTTTGATTAATTAAATGCATCCTTGCTTAATAAACATATTAATTTCTTTAAAGAAAAAATTAAGTATGTGCTTTTTCTATAAGCAGATTGAACGATCAGATCACAATGTGTCTTTGGGACCCCATTTACACTTGCATTTGGCGCGGTCCACTTGTGATTTCAATTACTCGAGATGGATGTCATTAAAAGATGTAAACTTAATCTATGAGACAGAGAGCTCTGTTTCTCTGATATGTGGTTGAGAGGCAAGTGAAGGGAACAGCGCGGAACTTTACAAAATGTGCTGTGAGTGTTTCAAAGCATGTTTGAAATGGGAAATGAGGAGCGGATGAGCACAATCAGAGAGAAAGCAAACAGCGTCCAGCGGCCGCCGCGCTCTAACTGCTAGAAGATAATGGAGGATAAAACAACTTTATGCAAATCGGCATCATTAAGAACAGCAGGTGTAGACAGGAAACACACGGGACTAAATGCTCTAACCATTCTCTGAACGTACACTAATTGAGCTTTACCAACACACAAGGGCTGCTCAATTATTAGAGATAACATCAAAACTCTGATATGGCATACAGTAGTGCGGTTATTAATGTGAAATCAATTTAATAATGCTCCACGTAAACTCGATCCTGAGAGCTGCCCTGACTTTGATTTGCTTTAGGATTGCATATAGAATGGGAATTGAAGAGGATCTGGATTTTCCATTTGATTCACTTTTGCATCAAGTGTGAACACTAATAAAGAGTGCAACTCTTTCTACAGGCAGCAGAGCAAGGATAAAACATTTAACAAACATTTATCAGCTTTCATTGCACTTTGTCTTGTTTTCTAGGAAAATATCTAAATATTCTACTTGAAATGCAAAAAATATCATGTTTTTAAAAAAAATATATTTTATCCTTCTTAGACTTAATTAGAAAAAAGTTTCTAGTTTTAAGCATCTAATTACATGTTATTATATTATACTAAAAAAATACAAGAATTACAATTACAATAATTATGCTCTAAAAACACTTAAAATATCTAATGTTTTAAGGATGAAAATGAAATTTTTTTATGATTTTTTTTTTTTTCAGATCAAACCCCAATCATGATTTGAAAGAAAGAATATAAATAAATAAACAGTGGTTCAAATTCCAATCATAATCAATCAATAAATAAATTAAAATAAATACATATACATACATAACATGCAGCCCAACATCTCAAATTCCATTTTGGCACTGAAACAGTTAAACACTGTTTATGGGTTTTCCACCGCAAACACAATGATGAAACCGGACTCCTCTGTGGTTAAACTACAGTGTCACTGAAGCACTAAAGTTTCGTTTTCTCACAGGATGGTTCTTTTATGCTACACTACAGCTGGAGAGTTTCTCTGAGAGACAATAGAAGGAGAATTTGGGAAAGCCTTCATAAAGAGCTTAGCATGAGCCCTGCAACGAGAGAATATGCCCAAATGAGGCGAGGGAGACTCCCTGGAGGGCCTGCGGTCTGTCTCTCGATGTGTGAGAACGTGCACCAGAGGAACACCTCGTCCTGCTGGAGGAGCTGCCTTTGTTGCTGTTTGTTTTCTGTTGGGAAGGTGCACTGTACGAAAGACTAGGTACAAGGACTAGGGTCACACAGCAGGGTCGCAATTATGCAACGCAGGCCTTTGTGTGACACGCAGGTCTGGTAATAGACCCCAGTGGGAATAAACCAACACCAGCTGCAGCAAAGATACACCTCCATGTTCTGAAGGAATCGTCCATTCCAGGTCACCGCCAAAGGGGAAGGAGGGTTTGAGACAGATACTACTGTGTATTATTGTATCAGGCTGGTGTAGTGGTTAAGAAAGAAATCACAAATGAGATCTCAACTGTTTCTCCTTGCCAGCAATGAGACTAAATGAAGGAAATAAAGACTTTTGAATAGTCTTCTGCTTTTGATGCCAAAGTCTGTAACAGTGCTTATATTGTTTATTAAAAGTATTATTATTTTTTTTATTAATTGAAACATAGCTAAAAAAAAAAATACGGTAAGTATTAGATGAGAAACTTAAACTTTTAAACAAACAAACAAACAATAAATAAATAAATAAATGTTACCTTGGCAATTCATTGAAAAAACTTCACAAAAATTTAAAAAAGCAAACATTAAATAAAAAAATGACAAAGGCATATAACAAAATGACTAACTTAAACTAAAACTTAAATTAATTAAAACATTTAAATATAACAGATAAAAGCTAATTCTAAATATTAATAAATACTATTATAGTATATATACATACTAAAATAATATTGGTAACCAAACATCAGAGATCTCAATATGAGCGCAAATATTTCTGATCAAATTCTCCCTAAAACAAATGATCATAAATATGACAAAGAACTATTTTAAGCAACATTAACAAACTTATTTTAAAAAACATTTAGTTTTCTTTAGAATGTAACTTCATTAACACTATATACTTTATTGCAAAGCATGACTGATTTGACTAGATAATAGGGCTGGGTTTTGACACAAATTTCACAATTCGATTCGATTATCCTTCACAAGCTTGCGATTCTATTCTATTCTGATTTCGATTCGATTCAATATTGATTATTTTGGATATATATCAGGTACAGGACACGGCAAATTTTCTCAAGGAAAAAAAAAAATCTCTCAACTAATGCAGTAAAATATACCTGACAGTCGATAATATGGAAGGTTGAAATTTGCTGATTTGTGTACAGACACTTAAAATATACTCAATAAAGTCTTTGTAATATTAAAGTTATAATACTAACTTTAACATTAAATTACATAATTATATTTCTACTCCAATTCATTTTTTTTTTTTTAAATATAAACATTTTAATGGTGGTTGTCACAAAAACTTGACGGATTTATTCAAACATAAAATTAAATACTGAAGAACAGTAAAATAATTATAATGAATATGTTATATGGTGCATATTTAGCTAAATGCTCCTCTCTAGATGTTTTTCTGTAGTAAATGTGACGTTACGTGACATTGTTTACAAGCTATTGTCGTCTTTCCGTGTTTGAAACACTGATTGAGCGATTACATGAGACAGTAGATGGATTTCAGTAAGTTGTATTCTTTCTTTTAACATACCTTCTTCGGATGTTCATTCATGTTTATTTCATGCGGTAACTGCTTTTAAAGTGGAGGAGATGATCAGTTCATGCTGCCAATTCTATCCGAGGCGCTACAGCGATCTGTCACTTCACATTAAACAGCGCCAAAATGGCATTTAATATTTGAACATTGTAATAAAATGAACAGAATTTGAAATCTGAGACTTTGTTTCATATCAAAAGTAACAAATCACAAAGCTTACTGCAATTTATTGGATGGGAGGCGCGCAACAATGTTTGACATAATCGATATAGTTTCATAAAAATGAGAATCGATTAAAATCGAGAAATCAATATTTTTTACCCAGCCCTACTAGATAATTAACATTTCTTCTGTTTCTAACTAAAATGAGAACAAATAAAAGCATTTGCGTTTTACATTGTTTAAGAAAATGTGAGTGGTGTTTGTCTATGCTACAATGGCAGGGCATTCTGTGTGGTTGCCAGGTCCTCGCTCAGGTATCCTCAGTGTTGTTTAGTTCAGTGTTATGAGGTTGCTAGGGTGTTGTGGTTGGATGCTTAATGCCCCAATTCAACACCCCGAGTCTCTGATATCCTGGCCCCCCAGATAAGGCTCAGGTCCCTCTGTGTCAATCTGTGTTTTTTTTTT